TTGTACAATGAAAAAATGAAAAGAAATAAATGACATGCCTTCTCACAAGATGGTTATAGACTGGAAAACTTAATATTGCTAAGATGCTAATACTATCCAAAGAAATCTATAGATTCAATAGAATCCCTATCAAAATCCTAATGACATTTTTGCAGTAACAGAAAAATCCACCCTAAAGTTTATAAAGAATTTCAAACAATCTTGAAAAAGAATGAAGTTAGTGGACTCCACTTCTAACTGCAAAACTTATTAGAGAGCTACAGTAATTTAAAAAACAATGATGTGGCATTGACACAGGAACAGTCTTTTTACCAAATGGTGTGAGAAAAATAGATACCCACATGCAAAAGAATGAATTGGGAGGCTTACTTTATATCATATAAAAATTAGCTTCAAATGGATCAATGACCTAAGCATAAATGCTTAAATTATAAACACTTAGGAGAATACATAAGGCAAAGATTTTGCCACATAGAATTTGGCAGTGATTTCTTGGGTATCACACCAAAGGCACACAGCACAAAGAATATAAAAATCAGTACAACAGAAAATTTTACTTCATGAAAACTGAAAACGAGAAGAACAATACAGAGATGGCCAAAAGGCCTGAATGGAATTTTCTCCATAGAAAATACACAAATTACCAATAATTACCTGAAAAGGTGTCCAGTATCCTAATCATGAGAGAAATGCAGAACTACTCAGTTTTTTAATTACGTCTTCAATTTCATTGGCTGATACTGGTTTATTTTGAATTTTTATATCTTCTTGATTCAGTTTTGATAATTCATATGTATCTAGGAATCTGTCCATTTCTTCTGTATTTTCCATCTTATTAGAATACAGGTTCACAAAATAGGTATTGATCATTTGGATTTCTTCAGGATTTTGTGATTTCACCCTTTTCATTCCTAATTGCATGGATTTGAGTCTTCTTTCCTTGTTTTTGGTAAGATTGGCTAAGGGTTTGTCAATTTTATTTAATTTCAAAGAACCAACTCTTGGCTTCATTGATTTTTTTGTATCGTTCTCTTAGTCTCCATTGCATTAATTTCTGCTCTGATTTTTATAATTTCCTCCCTCATATGAGCTTTGGGCTTGACTTATTCTTTTTCTAGAAGCTTGAGGTTCATTAGTTTGTTTATTTAAGCCTGCTCTGTTTTCCTGATACGGGTATTCACAGCTGTAAATTTCCCTCATAGCATTGCTTTCATTGCATCCCATAAGTTCTGGTATGTTCTATTGTCATTATCGTTTAATTGTAGAAACTGATTTCTTTAATTTCATCTTTGACCCATTGGTTGCTCAGGATGGTGTTATTTAATTTCCATGTGTTTATGAAGTTCTTGTGGTTACATTTGCCATTGACTTCCAATTTCATTGCACCATGGTGTGATAGTATGCATGGGATAACTTCAATTCCTTTGTATTGGCTAGTATGTGGTCTATGTTGGAGAACATCCCATGTGCAACTGAGAAGAATGTGTATTCCGATGCTGTGGGGCAGAACACTGTAGACATCTACTAAGTCCATTTGTTCAAAAGTTTGGTTCAGTTCTAATATTTCATTGTTGATTTTCTTTGTCTAGTTGATCTATTTGTGATAGTGGGTTACTGAGGTCCCCCATTACAACTGTATTAGTGCTTATTTGACTTTTCATATCCATTAATACTCATTTTATATAGTTGGGTGCATACATATTTATGATTCGGTGCTACATATTTGTGATTTGGTGCATACATATTTATGATTGTTATCTCTTCCTCTTGGATTGATCCCTTTACAAGGATACGGTGACCTTCTTTGCTTCTCTTAATCAGTCTTGACTTGAAATCCACTTTGTCTGCAAATGGAATACCTACCCCTGCTTTTTTCCAGGTTCCTGTTGCATGGAATATTGTTTTCCCTCCCTTGACTTTCAATCTATGAATTTGTTTTTTAATTAAATGTGTTTCTTGTGTCCAGCATATTGTTGGATCTTGCTTCTAGATCCATTCTGCCACTGTTTCTTTTGACTGGTGAATTGAGACCATTAACATTGATAGTTATAACTGATATGTATTGTCTTATCTCTGTCATGTTATTTTCCTGTTGTTGGCTTCCTTCTTTCCTTTTGTTTAATTGCCTGCCTTGCCTTATAGATTCATTCTGTTGGGGTTCATGGAGTTGTAATCTTTGTTGTCTCTTTCTAGAATATCCTTCAGAACACTTTGGAGTACTGGTTTCATGGTCATGAATTTCTTCAGGTGTTCTTTGCCATGAAGTATCTTATTTCTCCATCAGTTTTGAAAGATAGGCAAAACTACGCTCAGATAACACATCACACCATCTGTTAGAATGGAGACAATGCTTTAAAAAAAAAAAAATACCAAGTGTAGGTAAGGATGTAACAAAATTGTGCACTATTGCTGGAAAGGTAAAATGGAAGCCACGGAGGAAAACAGTATGATAGTTTCAAAAAATTAAAAATAAAATTATCATATTATTCAGAAATTCCACTTTGGAGTATATACCGCCCAAAATTTAAAGCATGATCATAAAGAGCTATCTGTTCACCTATGTTTGTAGCAGCATTATTCACAATAGGTAAAATGTGCTCATACCTTAACTGTCCATCAACAGATGGATAATAAAATGTACTATACACATGCAACAAAATTAAAGGATGAAAGCCTCAAAGGATAAAAATTCTGATACAAGATACAACATAGATGAACCTTGAGGACATTATATTATCTAAGTGAACTAAGCCTCTCACAAAAAGACTGCATCATTCCATTTATATGAGGTACCCATAGTGGTCAAATTCAGAGAGACAGGCGCTACACTTAAGGAGAATGGAGGTATTGTTTAATGGATATACAGTTTTAATTTTGCAAGATGAAGAGAGTTCTGGAAATGGATGCTAATGATGGTGGTGATGTACAATTAATGTAGTTAATACTACTCTATACATTGAAAATGGTTAAGATAGTAAATTTTGTTATATGAATGACTTAATACATTTTCTGTTGCTATAACAGAATACCTGAAGTAGAGTACTTCACAAAGAAAAAAGATTTTGTGTAGCTCTCAGTTTTGGAGACTGAAAGTCCAAGACTGAACAGCCCCATCAGTTTGGCCTCGTAACATGGCAGAGGAGCAGAAGGCAAATAGCAATATGCAGACGGAACCCAGTGTGTAGGGGGTCATGCTTTGCAACCAGCTGCTCTCACAGGAACTAAATCCCAGAGCCCAGCACTAACCCTTTCTACAGGTGGCACCCCCAGTAACCTAATTACCTTTCTCTAGGCTCCACCTCTTCAAGGTTCCACTACCCTAACACTGCCACACTGGAGTCAGAGCTTCCAGCACAGGAACTTTTGAGAGACATATTCCAACTGCTAGCAGTGTGCTTTGTCATATTGTTAAAAATGGAAAAAAAATAATCAACTAGCAGGCAAACTGCTATAATTTTGAGATACTTGCAACATTATGTTGAAGTTATTATTATGTTTCTCTTTCCTTTGTTTAATCTACTGTAGTTTCTGCTTTATAAAAGTGATTGCCCTACTTACTGTATAATGTTATCTTTTTGTTTTGGGGGGGGGGGTTTGCGGTACTGGGGATCGAATTCAGGACCTTGCACTTGTGAGGCAGGCACGGTGCCACTGAGCTAAATCCCCAGCCCTGTATAATGTTAATCTATGTCCACAAATATTCTTAAACATCATATTTTTGTGAATTAAAGCTTTTAGCATTAGAAGTATTCCTGATTGTGACTTAGCATACAAACAAATTAAAAGAAAACTCAATAGATTCAGAAAAGGCATTTAATAAAATTCAACTCCTTAGCAACCTAGGACTACCAGGGAGCACACTGAATTTATTAAAGCATACCAATAGACTATAGCGAATATAGTACATGTGCTAAAATAATGAAAACTTTCCTTTGAGATTAGGAATAAGATAACCATGCCCCAAATCATCACTTCTATTATTCAACATTGTGTGTGTTGGGGATGCTAGCTATTATAAGATGAGAAAAAGATATAGAAGGTAGAATAATTGGAAAGAAAAAGTCATTAAACACCAATTATAAGATTTCCCCTACCAGATAGCAAGACCTGGTATTATACATCTCTAAGTCTGAGACATTATGTTTTGGGCACAAAAATGACAAAGAGACCAGTGGTGGGGGGCCCTGCTATATACAGACACATATACATGTACCACTTGATTTTTTTATGTAACTGCATACTGGAAAGGATGGACTTCAATTAATGATCCAAATGGTAAAAATTAAATTTGACCCTTACCAAATTCATAGCAATCAGTTCCAAGTAGATTTAAATTTTAAATGTGAAAAGAGAACAGAATAAACAACTTTTAGAACCTAGTAAAGTATCTTCATGACCTTGGGTAAGGAATAATTTCATAAACAACCTATTTTCTCTATTCTTACTGACTTTTTACCATTTCTATTATAGAGACGGAGTATGAAGATATCCAACTATAATGTAAATGTGTCTGTCTCTCCCTTTTAGTTGTCAGTTTTTGCTTCACATGTTTACTTAGGTATATTAACTAGAGTCATGTCTTCATGCTGAATGGACCCTTTTATCACTATAGTTCTCTTTCTCTCTACTAACAGCCACTGTCTTGAAGTCTGTTATTAATAGAACCACAATGCTTTCTTACCCTATTTGCCTAATATGTTTTCTCTCATCCTTTTTAACTCTTATCTGTTAGTACATATTTGTCATGCACATTTATCACATTTTCATAGGGAATTTGTACCTGCACATGACATATTGTAACTTTTTTCCCCATTCCCTTTCCCCCTCAGCACTTCTTCCTCTCCCCATTCACAAAAGCTTTGTTTCCATTTTCCCCTTCTTTTTTTCTTTGCCCTTCTTTCCCTTCTCCCTACCCCCTTTCTTGTCCCCCTTCCCATCTAAACATGTTCTTCCTACTTCCCAATTTCTTTCTTTTCAACCTGTTTTTGTTTTTGTGTGTGTGTGTGTAGTTTTTTTTTTTTTTTTTGGTACCAGGGATTGAACTCGGGTCCTTGCGCTTGCAAGGCAGGCAGCGAAACCACTGAGCTAAAATCCCCAGCCCTCTTTTAACCTATCTTTGCTTTTCAAAATCTATTTTGAAAAATGTGTTTAAATTATTTAGTCCTTCTGCATTTAATTATCAGTATAGCTGGGTTTAAGTTTGCCACTTTTCTATTTTCTAGTTATCTCATCTATGCTTTCTTTTTCTGCATTCCTTTAACTAGGTGGTTATTATGGCATTTTTCCTTATTAACTTCATTTTTGTTTTATTAATCAGCTTTATTAAGGTATGATTTATACTGCTTTTATTTTTTAGAGAACTCTCTTAAGAGTTCTTTTTATAATAGAGCAGTTTATTTCTATTCAGTTTCGCCTGTTTCTTTTCCTTCTCTTAAACTCCACTAAAATAGAAATGCCTTACTTTAAGAATGAAAAGCCCCACTGTTCAGCGTCCACTCTGATGTTGTGACAAAGGTGCACCGAGACCAAGGCGCCTTTCCATCCCCCGTGTTCCTTTGCACCCTCTGAATCAGTCTTCCCCCCACACACACACCTCAGGCACTACTTCCTATCACTGTGATTTTGTTCCTAGAATTTCATATAAATAACATCATAAAATCAGTTGTCATTTCTTCCTGGCTTTTCTCACTTGTCTCAGTGCTTTTGAGAGTTATTCATACTGTTACATGTATCAGTTTATTCCTTTTTATGGCCCAGCAGTAATTCACTGTGTTTATACTACAGTGTGCTACAAATTCATATACTGATGGCTTCTTTCACACAAGTGGGGCTTTTTTCCAATTTTTGGCTATTATAAATAAAACTCATCTGCATGCAAGTTTTTCTGTTTGATTTCTCCTAAGTAAATTCATATGAGTAAGACTGCTGAGTCTTAAGCGTAACTATATGCTGAAATGCAGGAGAAAGGTCCAATCTTTTCCAAAGTAAGTGCGCCATCACAAGCAAAATCTCTCCCCCGTTATCAAGGCAGTGGGGCTGCTCCACTTACCCGTTTGGACATCTTTCCGAAGGACTGTGGTTTCTGGGTCTTAGCCATGGTATCTATATGCCAATGGAGCATAGGAGGCGGTTGTATGAAACCTGCTTCAGGATTTAAAAACTTAAGTACAAAATCAGCCATATTTAAACAGGCTGGTGGAGGCAGTTGATTTTCCCCTTTTGATTGTTTAAGCAATTGATGTTTGTGAGTGGCGTGGGCTCTTTCCACTATGGCTCTTCCTTGTGGATTATATGGGATACCAGTACTATGCTTAACATGCCAAACAAGAAGGCATTTTTGGATAAATTTATTAACATATGATGGACCACTGTAAGTCTTAATATTTTGGGGCAGTCTCATGGCAGCAAAAGCAGACAAGCAGTGTTGTTGAATATGGTGCCCTTTCTCACCAGTGTGACACATGGCATGCGTCATGTCTGAGAATGTATCTATAGAAACATGTACAAATCAGCTTTCCAAAAAGGGGACATGTGTCACATCCATCTGTCAAATCATATTAGGGGCTAGGCCTCGAGGGTTAGTCCCCCGGGGGGAATGGGCTGTGGAATCTGCTGGCAACTAGCACAGGCCATAACTGTCGTGCCTGAGCTCGAGATAGCTGAAAATCATGTAGGGCCTTGGAGTTCTGATGGAAATAGCTATGTGATTCCTTAGCCTGATCAAAAGCACCAAGAAATCCTATAAGCCAATCCACTTGTGCATTGTCATGTGAAAGTGGTCCAGGAAGATTGGTATGTGATCCCAGTACATATGAAAACAATTTTTTTTCTTGCCTTCTTGTAACAAATTATAATATTTTTGGAGAAACATCTTTCAACTCTCTGTAACTAAAACACAATATATTCTATTTAAATATATTTCTTTCAGTGGTAGTCCAAAATTGAGCAATAAATTTAACTTTATTTGGTGGCACTCTCCTATATAACCATGAGCGTTTTGGATCCTATGTTTAATATATAGACTACAGGAAATCTATATTTGCTAATGTTGTTAATATTCCCCACTAAAACACTAATAAGTGAAATGATCAAAGCAAGTTTATTTACAACTTTTCCTAGAGTAAGGAAATCTTACTATTATTTCTGGAAGGGAAGGGGAAAATCATCACTATAGTAAACCAAATCATAAACATTTAAAAAAAAAAAGTAAGTGTTTCATTTTCTATCTCTATCAGCGATGCATGAGATTTAGAATTGCTCTATATTCTCACCAACACTTGTCAGTTTTAATTTTAGCTACTGGATTGGTATGTAGAAGTATCTCTACATTTCTCTAAACTTCACTAGAAATTTAAACTACATAAAATGAGAAATTTCTTAATAATAACCCTAAGCCTCAATGCACATTTTTCCTTTATTTTTAGATCTAAGATCAAATAGCTCTTATACAAAATTTTATAATATAACAGTTACTCCTGGTTCTCTTAAATTCATTAATATTAAAATATAAATTAATCCTTTTTATTTTTAGAAAGTTTACGCTTAATTTTACTTTCTCATCTACATTCTTATGTATTTTTAAAATTTTATAGCATGAACCTTTTACTTCTATGCTTAAAAAAAGCTTCTTCAAGCGCAAGGACCCAAGTTCAATCCCTGGTACCCACCCCCCTCCAAAAAAAGTCAGCTTCTTAAAGAAATTGAATTGAAAGTGTAAATAAGGACTAAAATGTATAATAGGTAATGTGAAATAGGAAGAAAAGGGGCAAAGGGGAAGGAAGTGGGAGGGCTAGGGGAAAGGATAGAAGGGAATGGGATTAATATGAGAAAATGGAAAAATAGGAACAAAATCTTTGTAAATAGGGAGGAATGGAGGGGTTGAAGGGAGGGCTGGGCAAGGGTGAAAAATAAGAACCAAGAGAGACTATGTAAAGGTGCAAATTTCCAATGATGAATGTCATTATATTGTATACCTAAAATGTACCAATGATTAGAATGAATAATCGATAATGCAAAATAGGAAGAAAAGGTCCAAAGGGGTAGGGGTAGTGGGAGGGGCAGGGGAAAGGAAAGAAAGGAAAGGAAAAATGCTGAGAAATGGAAAAAATGGAAATAAAGTCTTTGTAAATAGGGAAGGGTGGAGGGCGTGAAGGGAGGGCTAGGAATGGGGAAAAAATAAGAACCAAGATGCATTATATACAGGTACAATTCCTAATGAGAAATGTAATTGTGTTGTATACCTACAATGTACCAATAAAAGAATTTAATAAAGTGGAAAAAAATGAATTGAGAAAATAATAATAAAAATAGACAGTAGAGGGCAATATAATACCGCTGTTTTCATTTTGAAATCCCAGTAGCAACATCGTGGAGCTACATCAGCAAATTTAGCACCCCTGATTTTTAAGTCTGGTAACATAATTTTTCCTTCCTTTCTAAATGAGAACTCTGTGTGACCTCTAGGGTCACTCTATGGACTTCTAACCACCTGACGTTTGTCTGGTACCTTAGAAGACTGCTGGGTTTCCCTCATTTGAGAACAGAAATGCTATAATACATCTACTATCCCTCCTGTACCCTTCTCCCCTTCTCCAATTACAGCACAACTCCCTCCTAACAAAACTAAAATATTTAAATGAAGACAAAGCAAATACCATGTTATCCAGAAGGATAACCTGGGATAAACATAGTTTCCTTCAGTATCATCTTATTTGTAAACATAATACCTCATACAAACCTAAGATCTCAGCTCTGGAAATACAGAAAGATACTTTCAAAGTGTACTGTAACAAAACAATTTACAATGAAGTTAGCATTTTTGAATGACAATAGGTCAACAATGGTATGTTGCTTGTCAGGCTCTTATTTTTACAGCTTTATCAGTTGGTTCCATCATTTCAATACTGGGGCCTATTATACTACTTGGAAATATAATGTAATTTGGGCCAAGTTTGATGATAATATCTCAGCATTATTCAAAATGAGTCAGTTCATGTTTATTTGTAAGAAAAAAAAATTCATTTCATTATCTTGTCTCCAGTACACTACCTAATCCTGTCCATACAACTTCTCTCCGAGTGTTGTTTTATATGGTTAATTTTATCTTTGTCCATTTCACTGAGGGGGAGAATTTGTTAAGTGGTTTTTTGTTTGTTTGTTTTGGTAACGGGATCGAACTCGGGACCTTGTGCTTGCAAGGCAGGTGCCAGAACCACTGAGCTAAATCCCCGGCCCCTGTTAAGTGTTATTATCTTGAAGTTTCCTTCTTGTTAAATAAAATGGATCAATTCAATTCATACTACGGGTTGTTTCTCTCATACCATTTTCAAGCAAGATATTCTCAGACATTATGGCAGATTATTAAAACTTCCACAGAAGGATTCTGAAGAGTCATAAAGCTTTTACAATAGTAGAAAAGATATGTCTATATACCTGTGTGTATGTATCTATATATGAAATTAGACTCATAAGCTATAAGAGTTTGCTTTTAGAGATTTGGTTTTGAATCAAGATGAACAAAAAGTTCAATTAGACAGCAACTCAGGATCTATCTAAAATAATTAGTACAGGGAAAAATTCTAAGGATCAAGCAGCACAGAATAAGTGGCAAATGAGAGTTTCCAAAAGACACATTAGGGAGGCTTCAGGAATCAACAGTTGAATTTGGAACTGAAGAAAGGGGAGTGTAATCCACAGGCCTCCATAAGGCAGAGAGCTGTAACAACCTAATGAGTTCTCTGAGGATTCCTGGGTAGGAAACAGGGAGGAACAAGCATTTACCCAGGCATCAGACCATGGACCAAGAATCACACCTCTGAGCAAAATGTCCATGAGCCTGTCACACTAGCAGAGGCAGTGACAAGTACCATCTCTACAAACAGAATGCAACAAATCATCAAAAAGATCATGCATCAAGCACAAGAAGGCTTCATGCCAGGGATGAAGGGATGGTTCAACATATCCAAATCAATACGTGCAGCCCAGTCCCTCCCCCGGGCAGGGTGGCATTGTCAAGGTGACAGCCAGCCAAGGCCCAGCGTGTGTCCCCTCAGGTGGCCAGGGAGCCGGAGGCCCACAGCACGGCGACGTTGAGGCGCGGGCAGTGGCCACCCCATGGGCCAGAATGGCAGGCCAGTTCCGTAGCTCCATGTGGGACCCGTTGCTGATCCTGTCGCAGATCATCCTGACACGAACGGTCTATTATGGCTCACTGGGTCTCTGGCTGACGCTGGTGGATGCTCTAGTGTGCAGCAGCCCCTCGCTGGGCCAGATGGTTGACGCCGAGATCCTGGGCTTGTCCACCCCTGGAGGCCGGCTCTCCATGATGTCCTTCATCCTCAGCGCCCTCACCTCTGCCCTGGGCTTGCTGTGCTTCATCCAGTGGGGGAAGCAGTGCCTGGATTTCATCTCTTTCACCTCCAGGGCTGCTGGTTCTACAGCTCCCATTTTCCCTCAGCGTTGACCTGGTGGCTGGTCCAAGCCGTGTGCATTGCACTCATGGCTATCATCGGGGAGTACCTGCGTATGCGGATGGAACGCAAGGAGATCCCCCTCAACTCAGCTCCTAAATCCAGTGTCTAGAATTGGGCCCTGTGAACACTCAGCTGGCACTTGGGACCCCCAGCACCTTGGGCTGCTCAGACTTTCCAGATGAGGTCCAGGCCCGGTCTGAGAGGAACCCTGGAAATACGAAGTCTCTGTCAAGAAGGCAGGCAGCAGTCGGGATCACAGCTGCAAGTATGGCCTCTGTCTCTGAAGCCTTGGTCAGGAAAGGGACCTCCCTGAGAATACCAACACATTCGGAATGATGTCACCCTTGAGCCATCGTTCCTATCACCAGCCCATTATTTTTTCAAAAAGAAAAAAAATCAAGGACATCTGATGGGAGCAAACCACTCTTCTAGTCATCTGCTTTACCCTCCTGGGACAGCTGTTACCTTTGCCACGTTGCTGAACTACAGTGATTCTCTTTCGAGAAAAACTTGATTTCCAGATCCTTAGTCACAGAAAGAAATGTAGGTGCAAAGTACTAGGGTGCTGTCAGGGAAAGGATGGCAGATGGAGACATCATTACAAGGACGACAGACAATCTGTGCCCTTTC